ATTATAGCTGACAAACATGCAAGGTTCCTAACGGTCCATTACAAAATAAGATTAAAACAGTTACCTTATTCGAAACTTACAACAAATACATTAAATAAATAATATAATAGTTGTACTGAAATCAGAGCAAACTTGGTAATTAGAGGTTTTCTAGTTCTCAGTTGAAAACCTTTCAACCAAAACTTTATGATAAGGAGCAATTAATGACAAGGCAAAATTATTGATGCATGGCCAGTACTGACCTGAAAATAAGATGATATTGTTGTCATTGTTTGGGGCTCACGACACGCAAACCAAAATTCACTAAACCAATCAACCCTCGTCAATTTGTTGCTAAACGTAATCAGATAAAATAATCCACTATGATCTGCATCTTGACACAACCGACATAATGAGACAGGAACTTACAGGTAAAAACTATCATTTCCTTTCTAAATCGTGAAGGAAATCCGAGGGAGCAACTACACAGTACAAGGCCAAGTTTGAAGGTCCATGGATTTACTGGCTCGTTTGGCTCGGCACTGGATAAAAGGACGAAGAATAATGGATGATTAAAAGTGGCCCTGTATTCTCTAGTTTAGCGACTACACAATAAAGGGCCACTTTTCAAGGTGCATAAATGTCTCCTTATTCTGTAGTTTAGCCGAGCAATCAATGACAACGAAAAATCTTTGTTGCGTGACCAGAAATAATGTAGCATGTGTAGGTGGTTTGCAACCATTCCCAAGAGATTCAAATGACAAAGACTGGTGGCAGTGTTGGATGACAGGAACAATAAAGCTAACAAGACTTCTTTTGTTAATGGATATCCAACATGGCGGCAATGACGTCCGTAGCAAACGATCAAAGCGATCAACAAATTCCTCTTATTCATCAAGGAAAACACGCTGAAATCACAGTGACCCTTGAAGTTTCTTCCAGCCTTCAATGGTGTTAAATCAGCCGTGTTAAATGTATTTCAATTTTCCCTGACTTCTCATCAAAATGTCAATTTTCCCTGAGTCCAAATTAAGGTCCCTGATCTTGAAGAAATTTTTTCTTGCCTGAACATTTCCTAACCGGGACTAACCATTTTTTGAGAAGGTTACAAAACGGCACTTAGGTCATTTCGCTGTCAAGTGACATTAAATTTCACTGAACTCTTTGTAAACTAGATTATTTAAATTAGAAACTGCATTATATTTACATTACTGCTGATACAATATGCTACTCAACCTCTTAAGACACAGACTTAGAAGCAAGCGAGGCATATCATACGTTATTCAAGATTAGCGAACGGGAAAACCGGCTATGCCACAGCCATGAAGCGAAAGTTGGAAAATGAATTCAGATGGTTAAATACCCGAAATTTTCAACAGCCACACTTACAGAGAACCGTTACTTC